CTGGGGACAAGGATGTCAACTGGGCCGGCGATCTGCTTCGTGCTCATCTCCAGCTCAGTCGAGGTCATGAAAACCTCCCTGGGTCGGGGTTTCAGATTGGGAACAAGAGGCTCGACGTCCTCCCAGGATAGGAATGGCCGCAGCCTGACCATCTTTTCGCCCTTGCGGTCCTCGAACAAGTCCTCCACATATGCAGGGAATCCTTTGGTCTCGTTTTCGGGGATCCACACGAAGGAATATACCTGTGAAAGGGGTCAATGTGCATGGGGATTGAGACAATAGTTGTAGAAAGTAAATACCCAGTTACTGAACAAGATTGAAGTCAGTTGATTGGACTAACTGAAACATTGGTTCCGCCTTTGGCGAAAGCTGGATAGTGCTTCAGCTGCTTGTCGCATAACCAAGCATCACCGGACCACACTGTATCAAAATTTTGAGCTGCTGATTGGGAGGATACTTTAATCTGACATCAGAATTGCAGTGAGTGGTATGATGTGAAGAATTATGAAATGGTTTAGCAAACATATAAGAAAGTTTAGGAACTAGGATTGAATCACAAGAAGTACCACAGCCGATGGGTGACCGCTCTTTGAGAAATGGGCCATCAGGTGAATGAGATGTGTTTGGATGTTTCTGCTGTTCTAGAATAACACTAACAGAAAGAAAAGTTGCACGTAACTAAAAGAAAACGGAAAAAGAAAATTCATTTTGGCATAGTACTTAAAAATACATAGTTATAATGCTACTTCTCGTAGCATACGTCGTATTTCATTCCTCTTAATTAGTATAGAGTATAAAAAACAAAATATGGATGTCTAACTAGTTAGAAAACATATAGCATATAGTGTAGCAGGTCTAAATGATTCACAACAGAGAACAGTTCAATAATACCCAGAAATCAGCTTCTGAAAATGTGATAGCTTAACGAGACAACAGAACTGAGTGCAAAAATTTAGAAATGTAAACTCAATCCATAATGTGTTAGAGAGATATGTAACATCAAAGAGGAGGCAACATCATCAGATCAGAAATGCAACAACACTGGTAGCCTGGTAGGCCATCGTAATAAACGGAAATGCCATCAAAAGTACCTTAACTTCGAGGAGAAGTTTAATTTTTAACTATACAACAACAACAACAACATGCCGTTAAATCCCACTAAGTGGGGTCGGTCATATGGATCGCATGTCGCCATCGTGCTCGATCAAAAAACATATCCTCATCCAAATTTAAATCATTTAAATCATTTTTTATTATTTCCTTCCAAGTTTTCTTAGGTCTACCCTCCCCCCTTTTACTTTGTGTTCTTAATTCTAATGTTTAACTATATGGTCGGCCAAAACAAAAGACAAATGAGATATTTTTTTCAACAATGTGACTTAAGCTAGAGCAGCTACCTAGCTTATACAGTAGTCACTTTAATACTTCACTTTAACATTCTCCTCCTCCATGTGAAATGCACATATACCTACATATACCTGAAAATGGCATAGACACCTATACATGAGAGCAACTAAATCATACGTAAAAAATAGAGAAATGATCGGTATGATAAATTTGAACATCGGAAGCTAGATCTTCATAAAAGTCGAATAAATTTTAGTACATTGATTATCAATAGTTGTATCAATAACTATTGATGATAAAACTTTTGATTATCAATGTCCTAAAAATTGAGAAACATCGGAAGCTAGATCTTCATTAATGTCAGATAATAGAACTTTTTAGATCGAAAAGATGCGATCCTTAATTTTCAATCTTCATATCTTTAAATTTATAGCAGCAGAACCATCCAACCAAAGATCACATAAAATCTTTTGAGCGCCATAAATAGGAAAAGATATTCTTACTGAGAATGATTGACACCTTATGTTGCAAAGTAATGAGCTCAATGCATAAATAAGCGATGGGAGAGCATTAACACATTTTAAAAAGACGCAAAATCCTCATACCAAATGAAGGAATTTTAATTTATAACAAATAAAATCAAAAGATCGAAAACTATTATAACTCAGTTAGCTGAAACCTTCAAGGCATCAGTAGTGTTACCTTGAACTTGATAGCAATGAGGCAAGGATTTCAAAACTCAAGACAAAGATGTTCATAGAGAACAGCGAGGGCCGATATTTAAAGAGAAAAAACCCTATTCACCGTTAAGGAACATTAAAGTGGACCCACGTCAACATGACGTGGACATGTACGTGTGCACAATTTTTGAATATTGCAAGACGCACAATCTAAAATCATTAATGTCTCCAACAACTTACAGATTCTTGTACCTTGTAATTCATTTCAAAGCATAAACTGATTCATCTCCTTATTCACCTGAATAAACCTTATTCAAGATGACATGAATGATTGTGGATGTAAGACAAATCACCATCGGTCTTCATTTCTCAAACAACTTGCAGATCCTTACAAAAAAAATAAAAATTCACAAACTAATACCTATCTGGTTATTAAATTCCCATTTCTGGTTCAAGGCAATGTCAAAGAAACCGTCATTTGAAGATATAAGCAGCACAAAAACACAAGTGTACAAGACATTTACGGTTCCATTTCACCCTGCCAAATTGGGAAAAGTATCTACAGTAAACATATGCATGACACTGAGTGAGCTACCGTTGGTACATATTTTTATATTTATAGGGAAAAAAGTTATCCCACTCATTAACAATAAGCCGCCTAAACTAAGTTTACCATCAACATAAGCTCAGTGAACTTTCCACTCAGATGTCACGTTTCTTAATGGAGTACCATTTTGTTACATAGAAATGACCTAAGAATCTGTTAGATTGTACCATAAAGACATAACAGATTATATGTTATATATATACACACATTAGATTTTTTATGAATAAAAAATTATTAGTACACGAGTATAAATAATATTCTAGACATACAAGAATCAAAGTGATACTAACAGAGAATGCAATGGTAGTGAAATTTTTCCTTCAAAATGTATAGGAGCAATACATACTTGAATAAGCAAACAGTAAGCTGTCTTCTTTTGTAGTTTCAACCTAGTTCCAGCTTGGAATGTGCTTTTATACCCAAAGACATATAACCAATCATTTGTTACCGAATAGAGCATGTGCCTTCCACTCGTCTTTATCTCTATGAAAGCAAGGAACAAAGACTCCACAAAATCCATAGTCAACACTCTCATAAACTCGTATCTGTCTCTACCCTGCAATGCAGCTATCCTTTTCAGGCCCTTCTCAATCCCCATGCCTGCAGCACCAGATAGTGAGACATCCTGATCCTGCTGAATGCAATGAAGAGTTGTTAACGAAACATACTTTGACCACTTACCCCTTCTGTAAAATTAGCAAACAGATTATGATCATCCTCAAATATAGCAACACCATCAAGAAGAAGAACATCCTGCAGGAGCATTTATTCTGCAAAACGAACAATACAAATATTTCACCAAAGAACCCTTTACATGCAATATATATACACATATATCGGCAAATTGTAATCTTCCAACAATTCAACACAGAACATCCAATTCAAGAAAATGAAAGTTAAGTGTTTAAAACAGTATGCACATTTCATAAGCTAACCATTTCGAAATTGTCAAAAAGAAAATTCCTCCAAACAGGCCAAGAACTTCAAAAAGAAATCAGACTACATTGTTTCAAATTGAATATCAACTCAATGGACATACAATGTAGTATAAGACCAAAAAGTCACCTAATTTATAAGGCATGTAACTTCAACATAAATACAACAAACAACAACAACAAAGCTTTTTAGTCCCAAGCAAGTTGGGGTAGGCTAGAGATGAAACCCAAGAGAAACAATGGTATGAGAAACACAAAAAGGGCTCAAAACAAAAGGAAGAGATTGGAGCAAAAGAGAAAGGAGCAAAAGTCACAGTCTTGACTAAATTACCCTACATGTACTTCAATATAAATAGCAAAACGTAGGCATGGAAAATCTTGATTAATTTTTTACATGATTTTATATGTTATCTACACTGTTTCTAGAGAAACTTCTCAAGTCATTCATAAAAAGGAATACACATTTAATGGAAACCATAATAAAAAAAAGAAAACAGGACATGAAAATTCAAGGCAAAAACATCAAAAGGTGCTCATCAAAAGGAGGGAAAATGAAAAAACGTCTTGAGCTCAGTAATAACCTTTAAATTCGGAAAACGTTGAATGGAACCCAAAACATTTGAAACAAGCAGCAAACATACTTGAAAAGGCAAAGAAGTATGATGCCCCACCTCCACGTGTAGAGAAGGGACCCACCCGGGCAAACACAGAACATCCTAAATCAACCCACAAGCTCCATTTTTTAAGTTAGGCGTCAAAGAAAATTTTCAAAATTAACATATCTCGCGGCTTTATTGGTGTGCTGGCTTTCTCTTTGTCCTTCCGAACAACGATATGCACTCCATCTGTCCTAGCACTTTCAAGATGGCGAGTCTCATAACAAATGAATGAAAAGTGAGATTAGCCGTCCCAATTCTAGCGAGCGAGCATCTGCAAAAGGCTTAACCAAATTCAGTCATCCGCAAGACCTTCTCATGTTTACTCGTCATTTCTCGTACATTACGTCAACAGCTCTATAGCCAATTACCAAGTTTGACAAGGAACAAATGGCCCCAAGAAGGTGCTTGCTCCGGTGAGGGCTACGCAAAATATTATGAACCGAAAGATACTCGAAAGCGAATTCAAAAAGGCGACTTGATCTCTTGGGCATGCACCATGATCACGAAGACTAAAGACTTTTCTTTACGAATGGCGAGGAAGAAGTCTTGTTCAAAAGTTCGACATTTTTTTTTTCATGATATGGTGCACGCCTAAGAGATTAAGTCGCCGATTTGAATTCGCTTTCGAGCATCTTTCGTTTCATAATTTTTGCTTGACCCTCACCGGAGTCACCATCTTGGGACCATTTATTCCCTGTCAAACTTGGTTATTGTCTTGAAGTAATGAGCTAGCTAGTTGTAGACCAAGTGCACTGGAAATAACGAGTAAACTTGAGAAGTCGCAATTTGGTTAAGCTCTTTGTAGATGCTCGCTAGAATCGAGACGGCTAAGCCCACTTTCGATCCATTTGCCATGAGACTCGTCATCATGAAAGTGCTAGAACGGCTGGAGTGGATGTCGTTGTTCGGAAGGACAAAGAGATAAAGCCACCCAACAAAGCCGCGAGATATGTTGAATTTTGAAAATTTTCTTTGACGCCTAACTTAAAAAAGGGAGCCTGCGGACCAATATTGCCAAGTGCATTGTGGGTTGATTTAGGATGCTCTGTGTTTGCACGGGTGGGTCCCTTCTCTACACGTGGAGGTGGGCATCATACTTCTTTGCCTTCTTCGACCAAAAGTTGATCCAATTGTTCATGGTGAATTTGCCATGGCGGGAGTTCTGTCGAAGATGGTGGTTGCACGAACAGGGAAGGAATGTGAACCTGCTTTTGTTAATTCCATTGAGTTCTTCAGCACTCGGAACGATTTCGTCATAGTAACCCGAATATAGAAAGATTAGCGATCGCGTCCAAGTCCACAAAGAAATGGATAACTCGCCATGAGAGGTTTTGTCGTCTGAGGACCAGGCTTCGCATTCATATGTGACTAGGAGTAGGAGTCGTATATCTTGGCAGAATGAAGTTTGTCCTCATCGATTGAGATTATCTTTGGCCCATTCTCAGTAGTCTTTGACGTGGTGGAACTCGCCGAGGAACTTGATGGGGTCTTCTGGCTTCGCCTTTGATGATTCGATGACCCAAAGTAGAGAAGAAAGTAGAGAATGATGGTTGTTTGTGTGATGATGAGTTGCTTGCAACAACCATGTCTTTGCTTTCTTTTTGGATGAAACTTCTTGAAACCACTCCTTGAGGTAGAGAGGTGAGAATTTGTTGATGAGGGGTTGTGCCTTCTTCTATAAAAAGGTTGCTCGTCATCGAGTATCTTCAAGTGTTGGATACCGGAAGGGAAAGAAAAGTCCTTGAAATACACCATGATTGAACTTTGAGATGTTTTAGAAATTGGATGAAAAACCTACAACATGTAAAGAAAATAAATTAATCATCGTCATAAGAAAAGAAGACCGAAAAGCAAATGGACAAGCCTTGTTTCACCCCGAACAGCGCTCGGAGTGGTTGTTTCACCTCGTACAGCTCCCGGATAGTCTCGTTTATGCCCAAACAGTGATCAAACTGATTCATTTTAAGCCGAACAATATGTGGTTGCAAAACGTAACAGGAAAAAGGAAGATACGAGAATATGTTTCAAGGAAAAAAAAAAAAACATGATGGTACTTTATGGGCAATTGGTCGAACACCTGGAGACGGACGGAAAAGCTGGTAGATGGATTCTTATGTACTCTCTATTGCCTAAGAAGAATCTGCTATGTGATCTTCGAACGTGAGGAATAAGTGCAGTTGAATTGAAGCTCCTTTTATAGATGCTCGAAAGCTCGCGTATCCTGTGAAGGAGAGGACTCAGAGTTTGATTGGCCCGAGGTTTCCCTTCCCTACTCTCTCTACGATACTTCGAGGTTTAGTTGGAAGGCCCACCAACAAACTGTGGTAAATTAAATGGCTTGTCCGCTCAACAAAACCTTTCCGGGCCTAGGCATCAAAATTCGGGTTATGTCGACTCATTCACTTCAAGATGTCGTCCGTGAACAGGTCTCGAGGGATGTTTGTAGATACATCAAAATTACTACAATCAAATAGCGCTACGTTGAAATTGATATATTAAAAATCAAGTCATATTTTTTATTTATATTTTGGGAATCTCCATAAATTTAATTCCTAAAATTAAGTAGTTAATTAATTAATATTTTTG